CTACGCATTCTAAAAGGCTCTTAGAAACTGTACACGCATTCTAAAGGCTCTTAGAAACTGTACACAAAGGCTCTTAGAAACTGTACACAAAGGCTCTTAGAAACTGTACATGCATTCTAAAGGCTTTTAGAAACTGTACACGCATTCTAAAGGCTCTGCAAGTCTGTAAAGAGTGCCAGCTGAGTAGCCCTCATGGCCCCCTAAAATCAAAAGAGCCATTAAAAGTTTGATCTAAGCTTTTCTTAACTGAACAGAACTTCTGACAAACCATGAATGGACCTTCCCAAATTTACAAACACTCGTCAGTCATGTACAATCAACAAACGTTGTTACTATGAATGCCTATGCAATGAATGTTTAGCTCAAAGACATGTGCTAGCTGTTCTGGTGTACAATGTATACAGCATGTATAGCCTATTATGCCTAACAAGCATACATGAATGTGATACTTGACGTGAGTGTATGTATTGTATATACAGGTCAAGCAATGTGTGTTAAAGATTGTGTGTTCCAGGCAGTTCATAACCTTTGCTAAGACTGTCACAGCTAAGGAACCTACCCCCCCCCCTTGATTGCACTGTCCCACAGGACCCATGCTAGTGAGCGACAATAAAGCAAACAAAGCTGCTCACCAATCTGTCAGGATATCACAATCTGGGAATGCACAGCTGTTATGCGCCTTGTTTAAAAGCTAGGCAGTTGAGAACTCCGTGGCTTGTGAAATTGACATGTAACAATGTTAGCATGCTCTGCATCGACCACCTGGGAAACATTCTAAATGTTAATTAAGAATGAAACAGGAAATACACCTGTGGAAAGAAATGTTACTGCCCTACGAACGATGTGCTACAATGCATTAGAAGTGCTTCATGCAGAGTAGGGATTCTATGCATAAAATTTGGAGTCTTGTCTCAAGCCTGGTATGGCCTTGTGATAATTGGATTAGTATGTTTGCCAGATATTTTATGTGTAAAAATTTAACATTTGCATTGTGCAACCAGTTATTAAAAACATAAATTGCACAATGGAAAAAAATGGCTGTAGAATCTAAGAATTAAATCTATTATTTTCAATTATTACAGTATTGGTCTTTTGAAGACAAAAATTCTGATGCTTTTCAGGCATTTTTGGCCTTTTCTGATGTCATTTATATTTTCATTTATTTTTTAAGAGACATGTTTTCATTTAAAAAAATTAAAACTCCAAAATAATGGAATCTATATACATTTTGTGCTATGGCCCGATTTAACATAACATAATATTTTGGAACAACATGGGACCTATTGGTCCATCTTGGCTGTTCCATCCTCTAAAACTAAATTAAAATGATTAAAAAATATAAAAAAATTAAATCCTACCCTTTTCATTCATATACTTATAAAGCTTTTTCTTAAATTTGCTTAAATTTACTGTCTCTACCACATCTGAAGGCAACCCATTCTGAAGGCCAACCACCCTGTTAGAAAAATACAACTGTCTTAGCTGAAGATGACTTCTACCCTGCCAAAATTTATATTTGTGTCCCCTAGTCCTACTATTCTCATTGTTAAATATAAAAAAAGATGATACATCAACACTCTCATCTGATTGAGGTGTTTAAGATTGTAAAGGGAATTCCTTCCTATACTAGTTTTTCAAGAGAAAACACTTTGAAAGATTTCAGCCTCTCTTCGTATGACAACCCCTCCATCCCAGGCACCATTCTAGTAACCCTTTCTATCAATTCAATGTTCTTCCTAAAGTAAGTAGCCCAAGACTGAACACAATATTCCAAATGTGTCCTAACCAGTGACCTGTACAATGAAATTATAACCTCTTTAGACTTGTATTCAATATTTCTATAGATACAACCTAAAATCCTATTTGCCTTACCACTAGCAACAGCACACTGCTTGGATGGCTTTAGAGACTAGGCAATTATTACACCAAGATCCCTTTCCTTCATAGCACTGTTAAGGTTATTCCCACCCAAATTATACTTATAATTTAAATTATGGTAGCCCACATGCATTATCTTGCATTTCTTATAATTAAAACAAATCTGCCATTTATTTGCCCAACTCACTACATGATCTAAATCCTTTTGTAAATCAGCAGCATCCTCTTCACAGCGAGCAATATCCAAGAACTTAATATCATCTGCAAATTTAAGTAATTTATTAACTATTCTTTCATCTATGTCATTGATGTAAATCCAAAAGAGCAAAGGTCCTAAGACTGAGCCCTGAGGTACCTCACTTGTGACATTAATCTAGTTTGACTGAACTCCATTTATAACAACCCTCTACTTTCTTCCATCCAGCCACTCTTCTATCCAATTTGCTAAATTATACCTAACACTTACAGAGATCATTTTTTACAAGCCTTTTCTATGGCACCTTGTCAAATGCTTTCTGAAAATCCAGATACACCAAATCTACACCCTTACCTTCATCTACATAAGCAGTAACCTTTTCAAAGAATGTTAAAAGATTTGTAAGGCAAGATTTTCCTTTAGTGAAGCCATGTTGACTATCCAATAAAATTCTGAACTTTGTTAAATAACTTTGCAAAGCATTATTTAACAGACTTTCTAAAATTTTTCCCACAACTGATGTAAGACTAATGGGTCTATAATTAGTGGGACAATTTTATCATCTCTCTTGAAAAGAGGAGTTACATTAGCTAACTTCCAATCTTGCGGTACCTGCCCACTATTCAAGGACTGACAAAAAATAGAAATAAGTGGTTCACATATCCAATCTTTAACCTCCTTCAAAACTCGTGGGGAAATATTATCTGGACCATGAGCCTTATTATTCTTTAAACTTCCCAATTTTTTCTTAACCAGCTCAGAATTAATTCAGACATCTTGTTTGATCTCATTTCCATTTATCAACTAATCAAGATGTGGAATACTGCTTAAATTTTCATTATGAAAAACCGAAGAAAAAGTAAAATTTAATAATCCAGCCATCTCATAATCATCAGATACTAGCCTTCCTTTATCATCCCTCAAGGGTCCTACACCTATTCTAACATTTGTTTACCCTGAATGTATTTAAAGAAATCCTTACTGTTAATTTTTTACATTTTCAGCTAACCTTTTCTCATACATCCTTTTTGATG